ACTAATCAAATAGCCTCTATTAACTAATCATCAGCAAGTGTGACCCCCGGTAAAAGCAGAAGCTTTGCTAAGTTGGATCATTTATTTGTGTTAACACAATGCTCTTCCTGTGAGTCGGTGTCCCAGCAGATTCATCCCAAGATCAGACCGTCTCAGACTTTAAAGGTCTCAGTTTTGTTAGATTTTAAAGTCATGATCGCATAATTAGAAGAACACTGAACAAATATGGCTCGTGTTGAAGGGTCGCCAGTAAAAAACCTCATCTTGGTCATTGCATATTTCTCCTTAGTCCTCAACAAAAATGTGACTGATAAAGTCATACAGAAAACAATTACTTTAACTCAATGCTGATATAAGTGGATCTACAAACTATCATGTGACACATTTAGTTTTTCACACAACTGCATGCAGTCTTTTGAACTTCACAAACAGAGAGACTTCAGAGGTAAAGCTTGTTGATTTATCAGTTGCTGTAACTCTTACCTTTGGTCATCAGCTCTTGGTAATGATCTCAAGGATGAGGTGAAGTAGCTGAAAGGAGTTTCCTTCTCAGGATGATTGGACTGAGCCTTAGAGATTAACAGTGAGGGGGATCTTGGACATCCAGAGCAAGTTCAGACTAGACTTTGAGTTTAAGATGTTTGGGGCATCTGATCCGAATGCCTCCTCCCCTGTGAGGCTTTCCAGGCACCCCAACTAGGAGGGCATCCTGAGGCAGACTTGCAGGAATGGTTGTATCTCATTTTGCCTGGGAGTGCCCTGAGGTCCTCCAGGAAGAACTGAACATTGATATTAGAGAAAAATGCTTATGGGGAAGCAAATGGATGGATCAATATCTGTGATGCAAAGACGATTAACAGGTAGTAGGAGAAATACTTTGAAGGGGACCAACTCTTCTAATTCTCAGCTCCACATTTAATCTAAAAAGCAAAATACAGAAAAACACATGGTTTGCTTTGTCATCAGGACAGATCACTGGCTCTTTGGGTGTTTGCGCGTATGGACAGTGTTTTGTCTGATTAAGTATTTAAGCTGATTGTGTTACCTTCACGTGTCTAAGGGAACAAACGAAACCCGACCCTTAAGATGATTCAAGGAAACCTGCTACATTCAAACTTGAATTAAAAACTTCTGTACTTTGTGTCAATAGATTACACATGACTGCAACTTAAAATCGTATTGAGTATTGTCAGATGCTCTACTTATATGGATCCTCATGTAGTCGTGATGTTTGAATGGGCTGCAGATGGTCATTGTAGGAAAAAAAGATATTTTGAGAATTAATATGGAAATAAAATTTTAAATATGTGAAAAAAATCTTACCTGGGTTAAAACTGTAATTTCACCAAAGCATTAGTCAGAGTAAAATATCAGATCTATGTAAAGTCAATGTCATCATGTCACTGTGCATGAAAAGTCACAACAGTGTGTTGTGTAATGGAACATTATTGGAATATTGTCCGTTTCAATATTGCCTAAAAATAATGCTGTGTAAGGTTTCACAATGTAAAGTTTTAACTTTTGTAAGTAAACTACTTTTGAATAAATCAATAGAGATTATATTGCATCAGTTGCCAGTTCAATACAATTATGTTAATTTATAATATTTAGATTGAAGTTCTCAGAATCAGGTGGTGTGAAAGTATCTCAAGAGGTAAAGTTACAGAAAATAGTCATTATAAAAACAAACAAAGACTCCATTCATGACACATCCCTAAAAGCTGCCCCATTACAACCCCAACGAACATGTAACACCTCTCTGTTTTTTAAAAATAAAATTGTCACAAGTAATTTATATTGACACCATAAAGAATAAAGGTCATAGCTACGTTTATGTTTTTAAAGTGAAAATAAGGTTAGTAATTTAACAAAGAAATAAGTTTGCATGCAGAGCACGTGCTAGAATTTGGAGTATAGAATAGTCTCTGTTACACAAACGCTGTAATTTTAAGTGTCATTCTAATAACAAATATACATTTTTTCCTTATAAATAGTGTTTTTAAATTGCAACTTTATTGCACTGTATGTTCGATGAGGGTTTTGCTTTGATAATGATATGAAAGATTTTGTAATGTAATCTGAACACTTTACATCAGAAGTTGTAATTTTCCTCCCCCCCCTCTCTCTGTCCATTTTTCTCTCTCTCTCTCCTTCCAACATGAAACTCCCATCAGTCTGTTTAATGTAGAGCAGTGTGTGTGTGTGTGTGTGTGTGTGTGTGTGTGTGTGATGAGAAAAGGGAGGGACACGAGGAAGAGAGCAAGAAATGACAACGAACAGAGAGAGAGAGAGGAGAGTGAGAAAACAAAAAGGAGACAGGGGGAGGGTCGAGCAGGAAACAGGAGGTGGAGCCACAGAGAGAGAGAGAGAGAGAGAGAGAGAGAGAGAGAGAGAGAGAGAGAGAGAGAGAGAGAGAGAGAGAGAGAGAGAGTTAGACAGAGAGGGATGACAGGAGATGT